TGCATTTAAAGACATAATGGGCATATCTACACGTGCAATTAATTCAACACAAACTGCATCCACGTTTATTGGTCCCAGGCGCCGCATTTACACGTGAGCCTGAAACCACAGCATGTTGAGCCAGGTCGGAACATCCCTGGCTGGCTAGTGGGCTGTTACAATCCAGCTCAACCTCCTGCAGAGGCTGGCTGGGACACAAACGTGCTCTAGCGTGGGGCTAGCCTGCGAGCTGTGCCCCAGCCTGCCGTGTCAGTGCACTACATAACGCCATCACAGGATAGCACTTGTGTTTACAAGTACTAACCCATGGCAGAATTAATTAGTTTAGTGAAGCCTAATAGGGCCGCGCATGTAGATGCTGACATTTTACCATGAAGCTAACTAGGCAGCTCCGCAGTAAATCCCTCGTGTAGATGCACCCATCAAGTGAAAAAGAACAGATGCAATTTAGACTGGAGAAACTGATTAGACAGAAAAAGAACTTGAAAAATAAACTTCAAGTACCACTGGTTATAAGCAGGGGTCCTGGTTTTCTCTTATTAAAAAAGTCCCCAACTTTCAGATTAAAAAAGTAACAAAAAATCCACATTTTTTGTGATTAAAATGAAACACCACTAATATACAGCTATAGATATCTATATAGTGGTACTGCATTTTGATCACAGAAAAATTTGGATTTTGAGTTACTTTTTTAAATCCAAAAACTGGGTTGTTTTTTTTTTAAAATCAGAGTAAACCAGGATCTTTGGTTATAAGAAAAGATCTAATGTACAAAATTGAAAACTTTTAAGATGTAGACAGGAGAAAATGAAAAAAGGCATAACAAACAGAGGAACTACTAAGAAAGACTAATGAGTTAACACAGTAGTTGAAATCTGTTCAAATGCAAAATAGAGATGAGTCCAATCCTGAAACTCTGAAGCAATAGCTTTTAGAGAATTATACCAAATTAACATGGTATGAAACATTTTCTACAACCCTCTCTAATTCAGAGCAGCTTCAGAACAAGTTTGTCTACTTGAAAAACATCATTGTTGAAAAATAAAAAGTATCTGAGTAAAATCTATTCTGTGGAAGACAAGGACTCTACACTGAGTCGCATGCAGTCTGTACTTGATGAGAAAGAATGAACATATGGAGAGGAATGATCTCATCTTCTCTTGGCTCTTCCAATTCTACAGGTTGAAGTCATAAAGGACAAACTGCTGAATGATACTACTATAATTTGGTAAAATCTTGTTTAAATGCTGGAGGCACTAAGAATACTGAAGACCTCAATAGTGAAGTTAGTCAACTACGTCAACTTGAAGAAGAGAGAAAATAAACCTGCAAAAGAAACTTCAGCCATCACTTTTGGCTAGAAAAGAGCATATTAAGAAATTTAGGAAAGGAAAGGAAGAGGACACTTAACTTGCAGCTGATTTTGATGAACAAGCTAAAGACTTTGAACTCCTCAGAAAGGAACGCAAAACATTCCAAGTTGTTCATTAAAAAAGTATGAGGAATGTATTTGACTGTAATCAGTTGCTAGTATGCTCTCTATAGAAAGAGCTAGACTCATGTGGCAGCACTTCAAGAAAAGGAAACTACTGACCATAATGAGTTGGAATCAGGCAAACATAAAAATTAGGTTTGGGTTTTGTTAGGAGAATGACAACGGATAATGTTTGGAATGGCAAGGAAAGAGACAGTGTTAGAAAAAAACAATTGATGACCACGCCAAACTTCAGGATGAAACAAGTGTTATAGGCTAAATTAAGAAATACATCAGTTGACCTTGGTGACAAAACAGAGGAAATGGTATGCTTGAAACTAGCCAACAAGCTAGTTGCAGAAAAGGAGGAAATTAACCCACTGAATTGTATTCTGATGGATTTAAAACAGGCATCTAATTTGCCTCCTGTTCTGGGCTGCATCCAGACACCCCAGGGCACAGGGCAGCTGCAGGATGGGCTCCAACTCCAGCTCCTGCTGCATGTCCCATGCCAGAGCTAGGGCTTCTGTTGCCAACATGTGTTTCAGACCAGGATTGCAACTCTCATATGGAACACGCAGTGGTGACAGAAGCAGCAACTCTGGCATGGAGAACAGAGGATGCAGTACTGGCTCCAGGTCCGGTACGGGACATGAGGTGTCAGCTCCAGCATGAAGCACAGGACACATGGCCCTGGCTTTAGCACACAGTGATGCTGGCACAGAGCATGGGGCACACAGTGGCAGCACAGACCAAAGGGCAGCGGTGCTGGCTCCAGCACAGAGAACATGGCAGTACACGCAGCCAAGGAGCTTACGCCATGGGGATGGCAATGGGCAAAGTGACCAGTGGGCAACCAGGACTATGCTAGTCCTCCTTTGTGCTCCTGCCACCAATCAATGTCCACTGGGGCCTGAGAGCCCTAGATTCTGAGGCCAGCTACTTATCCTGGCCATACCCCCACAACTTTGAGTGGCCAGCCATAGATTCATAGATTCATAGATTAAGGGTCGGAAGGGACCTAGTAGAACTTCTAGCCCGACCCCCCGCCAGGGCAGGAGAACAACAAAAAACCCCAAAAAGAGAAACGGGACTCAAATGAGTCCAGCCAGGTAGGCATTCAGCCTCTTCTTAAAGACCCCCAGGGTAGGGGCCAGCACCACTTCCCTTGGAAGTTGGTTCCAGCTCCTAGCCGCCCTAACTGTGAAGTAGTTCTTGCGGATGTCCAATCTATACCTCCTCTCCATCAACTTGTGCCCATTGCTCCTTGTTATGCCAGCGGGCGCATAACAAGCCAATACCTCAGTGGGCCAGATGCAATGGATCCATGTGCTGGATCCAGCCTATGGGCCATATATTTATTTGACACTCCTGATTTAAAAGGTGTGCTGAATGAAGCTGTACAGTTAACAAGTCAGATGAAAAAAAAAACCCAGGAAAAATCTCAATATTTTGAAAAGGCACTTGAAGAAATCAAGAGATAGATAAGACTATATCAATATAAAGAAGGCCAATGCAGATTTAGTAAATATGAAAATGGAGCTAAAAATTTTCAGAAAATAAAAAATGTTGATAGAATTCAATACATACATGAAAAGGCTGTACCAGCTTCTGAGGTAAGTGATATTATGGTGTGATGTAAGAAAGTTAAAGAAGAAAATTGTAATGATAAGAAACTGGTACCAGTGCATTCAGAAACAAATTTTCTTCAGGGAAGGTTACAAGACAATGGCACCTGTGTTCAGTCACTAAGGGCCCTTTCTAACCATGCAGGTAAAGGCAAAATGGGATCTAATGTGCAATCCACACAACTGCCCCCCGCCCCCCCCCGCCATGTCACACATATACAGCAGGAGGCATGATTGTGGGATTGCACATTAGATCCCGGCACACCTTATTGCCAGTGCAGAGGGAGCCCAATCCTGAGTTCCCCCTGCACCAGCAAGCAAGCTCCCAACTGCAGGGGCGCCCCATGCACCTCCACACCTGGGAGACACAACTGCCATAATCTCCCAGCCCCTGGAGTGCACAAAGCCCCCAAGGATGGAAGATGGTGGCAGCCACAATCTCCTAGACCTGGAGGTTTTCATGCAGACAATAAGCAGGTGGGGGCACTCCCCCGCATATAAGGGAGGGAATGAATGGCAGTAGGTAAGGACAAGAAAAAATAAAGCTGGGGAGAGAGCTGTTGTCTTTTATGGAGGTACTATATGTTAATTGAGAAATGAGGCTAAATTAGGTGTAGGGGAGGGGTAGATTATTTTTTAACTTGTTTCCCTCCTCCCCTCCCCACCCAGGTTGGGGGTGTTTTTGTTTTTATTTTGGGATTTTATTCTGTTTCTATATTTCTTTTTCTCTTTTATTGTAAGCTACCTGGCACCTTTTGGGAAAGAACAATATACAAATCAATCAATCAAACAAACATACATGCACTACAGTGTAGTGAAATGCTTTCCAGAAGTGACATTACAGTCCATATGCAAATAGCAATATAAATATATCCATCAATAGAAAATAAGTTACTATATAAAAAAGTTACTGTTTCCTATAAGCCAGGGCTGTCCAGCTGGTGACCTGGAAGCCTCATGCAGCCTGCAAATGGTTAAATTTTCAGCCCTGCCCCCCAGGCTCCTACCTGGCCACTGCCTTCCCCCTAGCTCAAGCTGAGGAAGCAGCTGGGGTCTCTAGGCTCCCTCTCCCTCCAGCTTTCCGTTCATTGCCCCAGGGTGCAGTCTGCAGTGCTGGGGAACCCACGGCCCAGAGCAGTGCAATCCAGTGGTAAGGGTAATATTCCTGAAAGCATACAGCTTCAGGGGCCTGTGGCCCCCACTAGCATGATCCACAGGGTGTGCAGCCCCCAGCCACTTAGAAGTTGGACAGTCCTGTCTTTAACTAACATAGCTGAATATCTATTCATATAGTCTAACAGCATCCATTTTCTCTATCAAACTGAATAGTACATTTCCAAAACCAGAAACAGTTTTACCTCTTTCAATTAGCCACTCTAACATAAATTATGTTGTTAGATATTGATTACATTTCTAATAGTAGTCACTTGCAACAGCCAATTTTCTTACTCTGTTGGATCAATCTGTACATCTCATGAAAACAACACAAAAAGCCAAGAACCAGAAGAGCACAGAGCATGGGGCACGCAGTTTTATCCCAAACTCTTCTTCAGTCTTTCCCAATAAAAAGTAAAGCTACTGCTTACTATAAAAACGTATCTTACTATATGTTTGTGTAAAAGTTCACATTATCTTCTTAAACAATAGGCATCCTTTGATTAAAACAAGGAAGAATAAATGAAAGAACAATTACAATTAGAAGCAGATTATTTTTCCCTTTAGGAACAAAACTATCAATCTACAACAGAGACTATGTTTTGGTTTTTTCACAGTATTATTCATTGCAGTGAACATAATAAGAATGGGAGACAACAAACATGAAATGAGTCTCGATTCACCAGAATTTCTAAAACCTCAACCCTTCTCTTCTTCCTTTTTGAAAATGAATACCTGTTCATTATTCTATGCTTTGTTTAAAACAGACATTCCCCAGACATCTGTTCTTGAGCACAGGGGCTGGACCTGATGATCTCACGAGTTCCCTTCCAGCCCGAAACTTCTGTGAACCTGTGAAAACATTTCTTCTTTGTTCACTTTTATCTTCATTTTATTCTCAAAAAGTAAGTACGGATCTTTCCAGACCAATTCTAAAGTCAGGCTGAATATTTAGCATTGAGCTAACCTAAAAAAAACCCATAAAAGGTAAACATAGGTCAGAGGTGTTTTACAACTTATACGATTTTTCTAATGAGATCTCCTGCCCCATTTCTACTCTTCTTGCTTCCCTCCACCTTAGTTCCACAGTTCTCTCTTACATACTGAATGGCTTTTTTTTTGGTCTTTTCCCCCCTTAAGGATTATGTTAATGTTGCATTTACCCTAAGCTGGAGAACTGCGTCATATTTTTTCCCTTTGTGGGACATCAAGTAAACTGTACATAAAGCCCAGAAAGAATTCATTGAAAAATAATTACTTTGAACTGCAAAACAGCAGCTTTTTATTGCTGATAATTTTGACATTAGGTACTATTTTCAGAAACTGATACTATCCTTCAGTGCTAACTGAAAATTAAATGCTACAAACCTGTTTAAATTTTCCTCTAATTTTCTCCAGATCTTCTTGAAGTTTGTCATAAGTGGGGTCTTCATAAGGGAATTTCTGAATCATTCCTATAAGTGATTCCAAGGCCTTTAGTTTTTTACTATAAAGAATAAAATATAATTTCCTTATAGTGGTTCAAAAGCAGAAATACAATTTTTTCCATTGTCTTACAAAGACTACACTAAGCATGTGATATTAATGTGTTATACCTCAAATTACTGGACCCAGTCCTACAATGCTATTTTCACCCAACTTTTCCCATTAAGTCAATGAGACTGTCTCACCCATATACGAATTGGGCCTGTAATATGTCATTTTTATACGGTATTAAAGCTTTTTTTTAACACAAGTGGGCAAGGTTACATTTCCTTTGGCTCATTCTCCATGAAAATATGTAAATATTCATCACGTTTTGAGACCAGTGAATAGAAAGTGCCATGGAAAAAAACAAAGTATTACTTACTATATCAGTAACTAATACCAACACTAAAACTGTAAGAGAATGTTCAAAATAGTTTTCAAAATCTGTGGAACCATGATGGCTTTGTCAGGTATCTTAACCAAAAAAACAAACATTTGAAAATTTACCATGACCCCATTTTGTACCTGCTGAAATTGGAGAGAGAAAATCCTCTCTCTTTTGGCAGAATGGGTATTTTTGTACTTGTGTGTTAGGCTAGAAAATCCAGGGTATCAGCTTCAAAAATATTTAGCACAACATATCTAGGCTGCGTGAAGAAAAAAAAAAATCTTCCAAAAATTATTATAATTCTCCAGGCAGGCCAAGCAGAGATTTCTATTCACCCTCAAAGTGCTTCTGACCACTCATGAACGAGTACCAATGCCCTTTCATCTCCCTGGTTCACAAAACAAAAAACTAGAGCCAGTTATAACTGGTAGCAGATTCTAAAACATTCAAAATGCAATAGAGTTGTCTAATATGAATACCACATAGATATGCATTGCATGCATCAGGTGAAGACAGTGGCTATAGATTGCCATCTGTAACTATCAGACAAACAGTAATTATACTACTCTTCTGTTATGAAACTGTTCCACAAGTCAGTTTATCTTAAAAAACCTCATCTTAAACAGAAAAAAAGTCAAATGTCAAGTTTATCAAGAGGAAAGCCATTTAATGGACTTAATGCATAGCTGATATTCCTGTATGAGCTGTTCTCTCACATTGGTGAAACTAGTGATAACCATGGCTGATACTTGACTAAATGTCAACACTGATTAAACTGTATATATCTGAAACTTGTGGAAATATTGAACATAACATCCATTTATCAGAAAGGTAGCTAGCCATGTTAGTCTGAAGTCAGGCAGAAGGTAGGGTAGAGATGCATCTTCTAAATTAACTGAATCAGAGATGCATAAGCTTGCTTGAGTAAAAGATCACTTCATCAGATTACATATCAGAAGACTAGAAGAAAGCATAGTCCGTAAAGTGCATCTCTACCCTACATTAAATGATCTAAGTAATGTTGGCTCCAAAAATGGAAAATCCCTATTTTCACCAAGTTCACTTTTGAAAAGAGTGTGAATTGAGTCTATAATACCCCTATTATGGTTTTTCAGAAAGCCATTCCCACCCTATTAAGTCTAAAATACAGGTTAACTGGAGCTTCAAAACTGCTCATATTATGGCCTAAGTTGCTCCTGGACTGTGAAATATCCCCAGTCTGTGATATAAATATCATGATAGAAGGACATTAATGCATGCTTGTTTTAAAACAGATTTAAAACACTTCTGTTTCAGAAAACGATTGAAACATAACATTTCTTTCAACTGCCTCTAACTTGCATTTTTATTGTTAGTTAATTTGTTATTTATTTTATTATGAAATGCCTATAGTCAGATTATGCCAGGAGATTAATTTCATGCAAATAAAATTACATGCACACTTTGGAATAAAAGACACTATACTAATAGAACATTATAACAATCTAGTAGGCCTCTCAATCTTCTCTGCATTAAGAGCTGAACATCTAAGAAAGCTAGTTAAATAAACCTGAATGAATTCATGTGACTAATACAACTGTAAATACATGCAAGTAAAGGACTTCCACAACAGTGTACAATCCCTTATCTGCGCAGAGAATTCCCCTGGCACATAATGAAGTCAGCTATAAGTGGCTCTAGTGGGACAATCTCACAATTTTAGTGTAGGCAGTATACCGAGTTTTGGAGGAGATGGGCTTATTTTATTACAGAAATTCTAGGCTGAAATTTCAGTGGTTTTCTAGTCCCCACTCCTGCCCAAGATGCTCAACAGAATTCTGCCTGCCTTTGTTAGCAAAGTTCAACTATTAGTTTCACCCAAAGGAGAGACTCTACACTTATAAAAATAGTTTATGGTTTCCTGAGTACCATGACCTTTAAGAGGATAATCATGATACCATTTCATCTAAAAAAAATCTCTGCTAATTATTGGCCAGTCTGGATGTTTATAACCCCAAGTAAATAAAAAACAAAAAAATTCCAAACAAACTACTGAACATTATTCATACACATTTCTTTACATCATAAAGGTCTTTCCTGGAAGGAAAGGAACCATGCCATTTGAGACACTACTACCAATCTATAATACATTTTTTAACCCTACCTGTGTTTTTCATTGGTGCATTTGTGGAGAAGACACTGCCATGTCAATGCAAACCCAAGATAACTTCCAATCTGTAAATTTATAAGAGCTCATCAAAATAAATTCTCCATATATATATGCACCAAAATAGTAAATACAAGATACTGCATTCCAACAGTGTTGCTAGCAGCTAATAGGGTGTTAAAATTAAGCCCTCAGGGTGGCAAGTTCTAGAAAATTAGGACAGGGAAAAGGAAAGTATAATCATTACCAAGCAATGGGCAGGGGTGGGGAAAGCAGTCAGTCTGGAAAGCAAGTGCATCTTGCTACACGGTTTCCAAAATCTGTTTAGCATCAGAGGACTGAATTAATTTAAGTTATGGTAGAAAAACCAACCACCCAACCATACTTAATCTGTTTCATATCTCATCAGTTTGTGTCTCCATTAGCACATATTTAATTCATAATGATTATATCAGCTGTACATAAAGGATTACAGATTCAGGACACATAGCAAGAGAATAAAAGTCTGGGGTAATTTTTTTTAAGGAATCTCAGGTGACTCAATTGTCTAAATACCATTTTTAAAAGTGACTTGGCTCTAGGTCCAGTAAGATTTAGGTACTTCAAATACACCTAAATCCTCTTTCAGATGCCTAAGTCCAAAACTGCAACAGAAGTTTTTTTTTTTGTATCTGGCTGCCACAATGGTAGATGTGCTTCAAATGTCTAACTTGGAAGACATCAGATACTTTGAATTTTGCCTCTGGGCTTACTCATTCCTGTACTAATATGAACACCCTGACATTTACTGCTTTCCTAAACCCAACTGGAATCCATAAATTAGTTATTCCCAATTCAAGATCAGGCACTTTCCAAGTGCTTTTTAACCATTTTCTTTTACAACATAATTGAAGAAGGGGTGACGCAAAGTGGTATATGATGCACTAGTTTAGTGGTTACAGTATTACCTCTGGCAGTGGGAGATTCAAATTCACTACCTATGTTAGCCTCAGAGGGTTCAAACCCCCTCAAGTCCAGCTCCTTAATCATCAGGCTACAGAAAGCCCGGCCGGGGCCATTCTCCATCTCTCCAATTGAAGATGCACCTGTTCTGATCCCAGTTCTCAGACATAAGATATGATGTAGAAATGACTCTCTAATCTGAAGTGTTACCTGAAACAAGAGGCACAATATAGGAATCCCACATCCTGGCTGAGTACCATAACCACTACACTTTGAAGTTGCGCCACATTCAGCAGACTGTAAAGACATCCAACCACGCTATAAAAACCAGGTCCATTGGGAACGTAATACAAAAATATATTTTCTGATCCAATTAAACAATTTTTAATCTTTTAACATGTGCTACATTCCTTGTGTTAAGTCCTACTTTTTTAGACTATAACATGGATTTGAATCAAATACCTTACAGAAATCGAAGGTGTTTACATCTGTACTATCACCATCACCAACGACCAAACATGTAGTTCCATCAAAAGAAACATTCAGTTAGACTGTAAAGCCATCTTAATTGACATTAACTATAACAACTGCATTCAAATCTTTATTAATCAAGTTTATTTCCCAGTTCACTTCTTTGCCAGGCACTGCCATAAGGCTGATAAATCTATAATGTGTCATCCCATTTATCTTTTGAAATATGTACTTTCTTCTAAGTTTGAAATATCTGATTTCTTCTAACTTTCTGGAACTTCTTCAGTGTTTACAGAAAAGCCAACATTCATCATCAAGAGAACTCCTATACCAGCTCTCTCCAATTCTTGGATGCAAGTTATCACTACCTGCTGATTACAAAAATATCTGGCTATATCTGTTATTTGACAGCTTCCTTAGATGCGACTGAAATGGAAATCATAGCACATGACTACATCATCCAGCTTCTTCACCAAATATAAAAACAAGCATTTCTAACATCTGTCTTTTCTGAATTATTACTGAGAATTCTACCATTTTCATCTAGTAATAGACCAATACCATTGTTACGAAGCTTTTGTTCACACATACTTGAAAAACTCCTCCTTACTGTCTTGAACTCTACTGAGTAGATCTACAAAACAGGATGACCAAGTGACATCTAACCAAACATTTCCAGGTTGTGGAAGTCACATAACCTCTACTAAACTGTTCAAGTTAGAAAAGCTTTGATGTCTTCAACAGCTAAGCAAGAACTTTTCTCCCTGCTTACTTCTTTCCCCATCTCCACAAAAATGTTAAATCTGCATCATTAATCATCAATCTGCACACAATGTTTCTTTTAAATAAGCTTCACCAACCCTATCTGAAATACACAGAGTCCATTAGAGTATATTACAAGGTATGGAAAACTATCATCTTATTTAAGAAACTTGTTTAATTAGATTAATTACATTCACCTAAATGTTAAGTAGTTACCCATACAATTTTAGTGTTTGCTTAGTGAAGCTTTTTACATAGGATAAGAATGGTTTTAGGACAACTGCTACATCGTGTCAAGTGGTCTTGGGACTGAAACCCCTGGAACAATACCAACGTTTAGACTGGGGAGACCAACCTGCAGCATCACAGAAGTGGCATGGAAACCCTGCATGTGGCATGCTGAATGGGGAGTAGAAAGGGGGCATAGTGACGGACTGGACAAGAGCAGGAGGCAAACAGACCAGGCGGGCAGCAGAACACAGACCAAAAGACTGGACACAGAAAGGGGACTGGAGTGGCATTCATGGAGCATACACCTGCCAAAAACGAGTACCCATCACCAAGAGATCAGGCTTTGCTCAGCCACTTCTTTAGTGCAACACTATGTAACCAGCATACTGGTTCTTAGGAAGTTTCCCATTTACCTCAGACCCAATCCTGGCCCCGTGTAACGATCCATAGATCCTTCCTTCAGTAACACCAATACGATTTCCTTCAGCATAACCGTCTTGATACCCTTCGCCATGAAATCTGCCAAGGAAGAATTAAATGTAAACCAGTACGGTTGCATCATGAAGCATTCAAACTGTACACAATGCATCTTTTAAATAAGTTTCATTAACCCTATTTGAAATACACCTCAGAGTGCATTCAAGCATATTTGTACACACATTTTTCAAATCGGCAGGTACTGATAACTTGCATCCAAGAATTAGAGAGAGCTGGCAGAGCAGTGGTTTGGATGATGAATGCTGGCTTTTCTGTAAGTCCTGCTGCATCATGCAAAGACGTAACGTAGGCGACTACGTTACAAAACCCACTGAACTCCATGTTACCTTCACAAAATCAGTACCCAAGCCAAGTAGAAAATGGGTTGACTGCAGTTTCAGGTGGCTTGCCAACAAGGCTAAGAGCAGGGACAATTAGTAACAAACTGCTCCCGGCCTCGAAAACCAGAGTTCAACTAACACAGCACAGTTCAACAAACAACCTGATACAGCAGGAGGGCACCAGGCAAGAGGGCTTCAACAAGCGCCAGAAGCAAGGTTGAGGGCCCCACTCGACTGGTGTGGCTCAGCATTAGCTACAGCACCAGCGGCCGTGGACTCCCAGGGGCTCCCGTGAATCAATTCAGAACCATCATTCCTCTACGTCTCCAAGCGGACGGTAAAAGAAGCCATTCCCTCTCCTCTGGCTCACAAGGGAGAGACGAGATGCCTTCAGGTCAAGCGCAACGTTGTCTGAAGCCTGCGGCATCACCGCGTCCTTTGCTGAGGCACTGGGATTTTCACACTAGCAAAGAACAGCAGGTTTACACTCGGGGCCCAATGGGCTTGGCACAGCCTGTCACCTGGGTCGCCAGACCTTCAGCTTCCCAGTGCCCGAGACCGGGTCCCCTAGTGGAAGGCGGGGGGGAGGGGCCCTGCGGCGGCCCCTCCCCCCTCGTATTGGCGATACCTGGCTCTCTGCGGCCGTTGAACGGCGACAGCGCCGCCACGTGCCCTCCCCCCACGTCCGACACACGGGGGGAGAGGGGGTCTGTGAAAGCCCGAGCAGCAGCGCTGCCCCGCCCACCGCACCTCTCCTCCGCCATCAGGATGCCATCGAACAGGTCCGACTTGCAGTCAGCGGCCGCCATAGCGCAGGCCGCGCGATGCATGCCGGGAAAGGACGGCGGCCCGGCGGGGCCACTCCCAACTCAGGGAACGCGGAGAACCCCGCCCACCGGCCTCGCGCGGGGTGCCGGGTGACGTAAGCGCCTGTACGTCACTCCGTGGGGCTGCCGCTGGCCTTCAGGCACGCACAGCTTTGCATCATTACGTTCCACCCTTTCCCGCGGGGACACCGGGTATCCCCTGCCCTCATTTGGTCCTGCTCCTGCTCCTTGTCCACCCAAGCCTCACGCTCAGGCGCAGACGCGGGACTGGCCAGACGGCGCAAGCATCACCGGGTGCGCCAGGATTGTGGCGTTTTCACCATTGTCTTGACCCATGTACGATCAATCGCAGTAAAAACGCTGAAAATACGCGGGCACTGGCGAGGCAGCTCGTTGGTGCAGCATATGCAAAGCCCAGGTCACTCAGGGAATCTTGATTGGCTTTTGGGCTCGCCTCAGCACTTTCCATGACTGCTCTGAAATGAAGACAGGGGTGTAGGTCGTAGCCGTGTTGGGCTAAGGACATAGGCAGACAAGGCAATTTGGGTGAATCTCGTATCTTTCATTAGGCCAAGCAAAATTGCTAAGAAAAAGGCCTCCAACCATTTAGTTGGTCTAATAAAAGGCTGATACCTTTTATTAGAACAACTAAATAGCAGAAATAATTGCTCTTAGCAATTTTTGTTGGTCAAATGAAAGATACCAGATTTACCCAAAGAACTTCATTTTGAGATGAAGACAGGCTTCGACTTTGACCCAGTTCTCACTGGCGAGTTACGATAAAGTAAATGAGAAGACGTGTTTGCATCTCATTTTCTACTTACTTGCATATTTTTTCATTGTACGCTAGTTTTTCAGCAAATATGATAATTTTGAGCTTCTGGTACTCAGGGTTTGGATTACACACCGACTCTTGGTGGGGCCTGGAGCAGTGGCAGCGGCAGCAGGGAGCTGGAAGGAGCTGTCAGCGCCTGAGTGGCTTAGAAAAGAGCCGGGGGCTCTTGTCTCTTATGGGTGGGTTGCAGCCCCCCTGACCCCTCTGTATTTCAAACCCTGCCAATACAATAATTTCATATTTAAGATCTGGCAGCACCAGGGAGTCGCTTCCTGGCTCATTGTCACCTGCCTGGTCCGGTCTCAGCTCATCGTGCCTCAGGGATTAACAACCCTCTGTCCTTTGTAATGGTCTTGAGGTGCCAGCAGCCGAGCCAGCCTGTGTCCCACCTTCCTGCTGCCCTTGGCTGCTCCTGGTCACCAAGATGTGGCTTTGTAGCCCTGCCTGCTGTTTCCACCTCCTTCCACTGAAGTTATATTTGTTTTGCCTTCTATCTTCAGCCAAATAAATCCCTCCCTGCCCCATTCATTGGGGAAGCTTCTAGTTTATTCTTAACTGGAGAAACATAGGTATTGTTTCGTGTGTGGTGATGCACCTCACCCTCTGCACTCCCCTTTTCAAAATCCTAGATCCCTCCACAGTCGCGGGGATTAACGTCATGGAACCTAAAGCAGTGGTTCTCAAGCTTTTTTTGTACCAGGCATCTGTACCCATGGTCAGACCTGACCCAGTAAATAGTTTAAATAGAAAACAGGCCCCTGGCTCTGCCACTGCCCTTTACTCCCAACCTGCTGCTCCTCACCCCCAGGCCCCAGCCCCCCAGTGTGTGGGGCAAGGGCGGGGGGGAGGTCCCAAGCAGCCCCTTGCAGACTGGAACTTTGCCAGCCTGTAAAGGAAAAGCCCTGGTTTCCCACATTTTTCTCCTTTAAAGGAGAATCCATTTTTCAAGTTTGTTTGCAACCCTTTCAAATATTTTTTGTGACCCACTTTTGAGTCATGACCCACGGGTTGAGAAACGCTGAACTAAAGGATTACTAAAATACTGATTAGTAGTAGGCATCTGTCTGTCACCTAAGACAACAGAGCATGAGGCATCAGCTCTGAATATCTGTGAGTGTGGATGTAGAGCCCAGTTCTTGTGTGACAGTCCCTCCTGCAGTTATCACAGGTTATGCTTGTACCTAACAACCCTGGGGTCTTCCTGAGGTTTTTTCTTTCCTCTGCCTGTTGGGCTCATCTTTCCTTGGAAGCCTTCCTTTCACACTGAATAGCTGTTTCCAAGCAGTTCAGTCCTCAAAAATGTTCTAGTTGTTTGACTCAATGATCATTGCCTTCATATCTCTCTTGTAAACATCTTTGAACTGGAGATAAGGATGCCCATGTGGTCTTCCTGTATAGAATTCTCCATACAAGAGAACCTTGGGTATGTGACCATGACTTGTTCTCTGCATATGACCAAGCCTATGACTGCATATGGCCACTATTAATGACAGAATAATGATGTTTATCTAATAATGTGCATGATATATTTAAGTTCATTCTTTTAAATGGTGACCCACTAAATTATGGCAAGTTTTGGAGGGGTGTCTTGAGTCTGAAAACGTTGAAACCACTGGAGTATAATCTCTACATCAAACATTTCTGGCCATCGCTAATACCAAGAATGCTGGCTGAGACTCCAAACCAGAAGTGAAAGTCAGGGCACACATACACCCCCCCAAGACAGCTAAGGCCTTTGAATATCCCCCAGCAATTGTACGCTATACTGAAGCCAGTGACTTGGAGATTCTAACCATTTTACCCTGATGCTGTTAACCTTCTGCGGGTCCTGTCTCTCTTCTTTAGGTAGGAATGTGTTGAAATTTTCTAACCATTTTACCCTGAGCTAATGTAGGTTGCATGATTAACTGCATAACTTAGACTCTTTTAATATACACCAGCTATATGCCTACGATGCTACAATGCACAGAGTCCTTGTATTATCTTACAATGTTATTAAGCCACGTAATAACTATAAGCATTTTCTTCATAAAATTTTAAATTTACTAGTATTATTATTAACATGGAATTGTCAGATAATCAGCATATTCATTATGTTAATGTCCTCCATCTTTTGCTTAGGTAGGTGTATGATGTCTTTGATCTTTCCAGAATACTGGAAGTAAATTGTTGGTTGCATTTGGCTGCTGTTAGTATTTGCATAACGATTGTTATAACAATTATTTGTGGCTGTCTGTCATTATTTAGGAAGAGCACTTGATGCCTGAAAGCTTGTCAGCAACACTCCCAAAAATACAGTTGCTGTAAAAAACATACCACAAAATTTTTACCTCTTGTACATTTCCTGGATCATCATGGAAATAACTCTCCAGTCGTACTATCATTACTTATTCGTTTCTCAGAATTAAAAAAGTAAACAAGGAAACGTTCCCTCATTTGACAATTAAAATTCAAAGTGACCACAACAGCAGAAATATTTGCTCTTGTTGACAAGACAAAAACCAAAAAAAGGGCAGAATTAAATAAATGGTTATTGAAAGATTCATCTGATAAAGGAATCAATGTGGGGCATGAAGGTCATATATAGAAATAGGTCTTAGATAGCAATTATTTTCTCCTGTCTGGTTAATTCTATGCATAACCACTAGAGGGTGCACATGTGCTTTGAAAGAACCAAGGTTCAGGACAAACTAGTGAAAAAACCAAATTAAAGAGAAAATGCATATAAAAGGTGCCATATATCCATACTGGTAGTGAAAGATAACACTTGACCATTTTAATTTTATTTATTTTGGTATGGCATGCACAAGGCATCCAGGAATTAAAAATCAACCAAAAAACTGAGAAAAACCTTTAGACTTGCAGTTGTGACAAACATTTGTATTGAAAAATTAATCAAATAATTACAACGCTAAAGCTTAGACTGTAATGGTTTACTTGGCATTTGGTGTTTTGCTCACTTTTGGAGTTAAAAACTTGCTGTCTTGCACAAATAGGCATCACCTTGATTAATGTCTGGAGTTGCTTGAGAAATTTTCCTCCAATGAGCATAAAAAATGTATCTTACAACTATTCAACCTGTTTCCTAATCTATAAAAAGATTCAATTACTATGAATATTTGAAATGCATATACTTTTTGTAAAATGTTCAAAGTGAAATTAACACCATTTCTGAACAAGCCTGATTTGATTATAGTTTACACCTGAAAACACACAAAACTCACAGAAACCAAAATCAACTAAAATATGCACCTGAACAACAAACCAAGATCCAATCCCTGCAATCTGATTCAGTTGGGTAGGTCTATGTTGAGCTGATGTTAATAGGTTATCACAACTTGTAGAGTTCTGCACATGTGGCTTCATAGATATTAGGGGCTGGAAGGGACCTTGCAAAATCATTGAGGCCCCCCCTGCCATAGGCAGGAATGATCCCAGCAAGATAAACATCCAGATGCCTTTTGAATGAGTCCAGAGTAGATGCTTGCACCACCTCTGGGGGGAGTCTGTTCTAGACCCTGGGCACACAGACTGTAAAGTTTTTTCTTACGTCCAGTATAAATTGGCCTTCCAGGAATTTGTGGCCATTAGACCTTGTTGTCCCTTGGGGAGCCCTGGTGAACAACTGTTTTCCCAGTTCCTGATGCACACCCCTTATATACTTATTGGCTGCCACCAGTCCTACCTGAGCCTTCTCTTCTCCAGACTGAAGAGTCCCAAGTCCCTCAGACTCTCCTCAAAAGGCTTGTCCTCTTGGTCTTTGATCATACAAGTAGCTCTCCTTTGGACTCTCTCAAGCTTATCCACATCCCTCCTACACACACACACACAAATATGTACATACATACATACAAACTGATTTTTTTCCATCTTGAACTGAGATACAGCACAAACCTGTGTAGCTGGCTCATTAAATATATTGCATATATGAATTCAAAATGTATACTCCTAGATCAGAATGTGGCAGGAAGACATTATTCTTTATAACAAGCTCTCACAGCACTGCTTGCATTTCCTTTCCATTTGACTATTGTAATTGATCTATGGCTCTCCAGTCTTCTGTTACCTGAAGTATGAGAGACCAACACTTTCCATGAAGTTTCTAACACTGACCTCCACCATAAAAACCTTCATTGGCTGTCTGTGCATATTGGAGCTCAATAGAACAGTTTGTTCTCCAGTATCTTACATATC